ATATTTTTGGACAGTTATGTTGATCCAGGATCAACAAAAGATGTCATGGCGACCCAACCCCCTAAGGGGGTGGAGTCAGCCAAAGTTATGTGTTATGCAGTCAAAAATCACAAATACATTTATTTGGTTTATTATGTTCCTGGATCAAAATCCTTGTTGATCCTGGAACAACATTCCAATTAACCAATCAGAATTGAGGGATAACTTTTCAGGAAATATCTGTTTTAGGCTTACGATCAGGGTTAGGTGCTTCTACACCCTTGTTAATCAGCTATCATTTCACACTGATTTTAGGAATAAATTATGGGTAGGGTTAGGTTTAGGGGTAGGGATTGGGTTAAGTCTATATTTTTGGACAGTTATGTTGATCCAGGATCAACAAAAGATGTCATGGCGACCCAACCCCCTAAGGGGGTGGAGTCAGCCAAAGTTATGTGTTATGCAGTCAAAAATCACAAATACATTTATTTGGTTTATTATCCTGCTTCCCTGTATTTGTCCATTGAATGTGTGAAGAATGTTTTCCCCAGTAAACTCTGAATTTAAATGAACAATGTATTATTGTGATCAGAATATATAGAATATATAGTATAGCTATGATTAGTAGACTGTTAGCGATATCTACCAAGACTGAACATAATGAAGATATTCTCTCAGTCAACACACGCAATCAAAATCAGTATATGGTGAAGTAGTTCTAAATTAAGAACAAGTAACTTAACGAATTCACGAATAATTTAAATAATAAACTCTTTATAATAGTGCTATAGCGTCATAAAGCCCCCCACTCCTTCCGTATGAGCAGAGTATGAGCAGAGCAGAACTAGTTCTGCTTATGAAGCTGTCGTTTTGAACGCACGTTTTCGACAGCGCTATGAGGATTTTAATTATCAGAAATCTTTCGGACATCTTTTGAGTAATATGCATTCCGACGCTGCTTTCGTCAGTCTATGCATTCTTATCACAAATGGTAAGCCGGATTGCATTTCATGTTGGGTGGTCTTGACTGGAAAAGCCCGCAAATATGTAGGAAAAATACAGTATGCCTATGCAAATAATATTTTATATGCGCGCGCGTGTGTGTACCGTTACTATATTCAAATTTTGTTTTGTATCCTTGTTTGTTTATGACAAAGATTTTTCCTTTGTTTGAATGTGTTTCAGGTGTGTTTGATGCTAAAACAGATGAAGTGAAGTCAGTATCAGTGCTGGAGGGAGAATCTGTCACTTTACACACTGATGTTAAAGTACAGAGAGATGATATGATACTGTGGACGTTTGGACCTCAAAACACTCGAATAGCTGAAATCATTAAAAGGGACCAAATAAACTTTATTTTTGTCAGTAATGATGGGAGATTCAGAGACAAACTACTGATGGACAATCAAACTGGATCTCTGACCATCAGAAACATCAGATCTGAACACACTGGACTTTATGAACTGACTGTCATCAGTGGAAAAACCTCATTGAAGAGCTTCAGTGTTACTGTGTATGGTGAGTAAACTGTACTCTCACTAATGCTAGGATTGTTCATTATTGTTTAATTCTAGTCTGAACTCTAGTATGTTGTATAAATGTTTCTAAATGTTAATTCAAATGCCAGAAACTATGAAATGACCAACCAATTGTTGATATAATAATTCAGCTGCTTGAATGATCAAACAGTGTGTTGGAGTAGATACTGTACAAGCATTAATTTCGTTCTCAGCCTTGCATTTAAAATTTTGGTTTCTTTTTGATTAGACTTGCAAGAAAACATCTGCATCATGTTATTTTTTGTTGTTGTTTATTGATAAGACTGAGATAACACTTACTTTTACTTGTTCTTTCTACATTGTTTTCCAGCTCCTCTTTCCACTCCTGTCATCACCAGTAACTCTTTAAACTGTTCCTCATCATCTCAAAGATCATCCGTGTCCAGATGTTCATTGGTGTGTTCAGTGTTGAATGTGAGGGATGTGACTCTCTCCTGGTTCAATGGAAACAGTTTATTGTCCAACATCAGTGTGTCTGATCTCAGCATCAGTCTCTCTCTACCTCTGGAGGTGGAATATCAGGGTACAAACAACTACAGCTGTGTAGTGAAAAATCCCATCAGTAACCAGACTCAACATCTGGACATCAGTCAACTCTGTCACACATGTGCAGGTGCGTCAGCTGTGATTAATCTCCTTACCTGTATTGATATAAATATGTGAACTGTGCTGGCAAAATGAGTCACAATGAGCAAATGTTCAAATAATGCAAAATATATGTTTTTTTATATTCTCCATTAAAAGACCTTCAAAATGATATATGAGTTGTAGGAATTTTACAAAAAATGACTGAGCTACACCCGTTTGAAGTCGATAAAGTCAGCAAAGACTTTAGAAAAACTGATTTGAAGTTTTCTGAAGGTTCCAAAATAAAATCACCTAGCAGCATTAAAGCCCCGTTCACACCAAGAACGATAACTATAAAGATAACGATATTAGCGTCCACACCAGCGAACGATATCGTCTGTTTATTGTAAGCGCACGCTCGTCTGCCGCTTTAAATTCTCGAGCTTGTTACAGCAGGATGGAGTCTGATTGGCTGACAATTTTTTTTATCGTTCATCAGCTGGAGAAAAATCGTTTTGAAAGTGATTCCAACGACATCGTTTCTCTTTGTCTTTATCGTTATAGTTGTGGTGTGGACTCTGCTATTCTTTAATATTGAGAACGATTTTTAGAACTATATATTTATCGTTATCTTTATAGTTATCGTCCTTGGTGTGAACGGGCCTTAATTCTTTCTCCCCATTTATTTTCTTAATAATCATTACTAGATTAATACTCACAATATAGCTATTTTTTTATTTTATCTGTGTTGTTATTAATAAGAACCAATGCAAAAAAAACAGTATTAAGAGTTTCTTAAGTTGTGATTTTTAACTTTAAACACTATTAGACGAATGTCTGCCAGATCTGCTTTATACTAAGTATTGTCTTCTCTTTTTTTATTACAGAACATCACCGTTCCTATTCCATACCAGTGGTAGTTGGTGTATTGTTGTTCGTGGCCATAATTGCAGTTTTGGGAGGGATTTTGTTGTGGTACATCAGGAACCGTAAACAAACAGCACAAACTGGCAAGTATTACTGCAACTGCATATATTCGTCTTTGTGTTGGAAAAGTGTTTATCATATGACCATCATTTCATGTATAATGTTTTATAGTTAAACTGTGGTTATTATTAAAACAGTTGAAAATGAAGACATACATTATGCTACAGCAACATTCATTGCACATCCTTTACACCATACGGTAAGATGCAGTTTTGCTGTGTGCATTGTGTCTCGCTGCCTGCCTGTAGAAAACTCTGCACTAGTGAGCTGATGGATCATTCATGCTTAAAGAAAAAAGAAATCGTAATATCCGTCTGTGCTTGCTTATTTCTTACTGTAACATAAGCAGAAATTCTGCTTTATTTTAAGCTGAAGTATAGATGAATTTGGTTTTAAAGCTAGTGATTCATTTAAGTGATATGTTATGTTTCACATGCACCGTGCATCAGGCACTGCATGGTGGACAACCCTTTCTACTTAACAGGGATTTAAGCTACACCCGTTACTAACAGGTGCGCAAATCTTTACAAATATGTCTAAACAGAAATGGATTAGTATAACAAATAAATTCAGTGGAATTTAGCAACAGACTGAAAAGGCTTCAGTTTGTCAGTTGACAATAAACCTGTTCTACCTGTGATTCACAAATAATGGTGAATCTTTATCTTTTATCTTGTTTAAAATGTGAGGTAGTGAAATCTCCTGTAGGTTACTGTGTAGTGATGTTACATCAAACACCTGCTGTGTGAACTTGCCAAACAATAACACAAAATGATGACTTGTCAATAATTTAAGTTTCCTACACAGTTCATATATTTACTCCCTGATAAAGATGTTTTATAGAGACACAATTGTTCTAATCACTAATCTCTAAAATAAATATATTAGATCAAGCTTTATTTATATTGATATTGTATATATCTTATAGTGACACTGTGTTACTCCCTTTGAAATATACATCAAGAGGGAAACTTTCCTGCTGTTGTCTTGTTGCTGCTTTATTGTACTTGTGCATATATTTGCATGATCATTCATGCATGTGTGTGCAGATCATGTCATATATGTTGCAGATTGACTAGTTGCACGAAGACTTGCTTTATCACAAACTGCTCTGTCTGTGATTGTGAGATACCGCTCCCTTTTAATATATATCTTAAAGTTATGTGTGGCTTTGAGATTTGTTTGGATGTGTGTGAGCCATCTCATTCACTGATTTTTTATTTCAATTATGAATTCTTTATAGGAAATACCATTTTTAGGTATAATGTCCCTTTCAGAACTTCCTCGTTTAAAATGAGCTTTTATTGAAATTAAGCCGTGAAGTTCCTCAGTTCTGTCCCACAAAAGAAGGCATGAAAGTATATTCACAGACTCTGCAACCAATGTAACCAATAGCGTCAATGATAAGAGTTGAAGGGATGAATGAACATCTTGTTTGGTTTTCTAGAGCGGTTATCACTGTTCTTGAAATTTTGGAAATCTTGGAATTTCAGGCAAAATGGCAGTTTGAGAGCTAAGCGTCTTACTTTCAACTCTGTTAATCAGTTTAACAATGTGAAGAATTTTCTGTCTGTATTTTGTTATTCTCAGAAAGATTTACTTTCTCCAGTTTTGTGATTGTGGCATCAACACGATTCCTGATTTTATCTTAAGCAGAAATTCTGCTTTATTTTAAACTGAAGTATAGATGAATTTGGTTTTAAAGCTAGTGATTCATTTAAGTGATATGTTATGTTTCACATGCACCGTGCATCAGGCACTGCATGGTGGACAACCCTTTCTACTTAACAGGGATTTAAGCTACACCCGTTACTAACAGGTGCGCAAATCTTTACAAATATGTCTAGACAGAAATGGATTAGTATAACAAATAAATTCAGTGGAATTTAGCAACAGACTGAAAAGGCTCCAGTTTGTCAGTTGACAGTAAACCTGTTCTACCTGTGATTCACAAATAATGGTGAATCTTTATCTTTTATCTTGTTTAAAATGTGAGGTAGTGAAATCTCCTGTAGGTTACTGTGTAGTGATGTTACATCAAACACCTGCTGTGTGAACTTGCCAAACAATAACACAAAATGATGACTTGTCAATAATTTAAGTTTCCTACACAGTTCATATATTTACTCCCTGATAAAGATGTTTTATAGAGACACAATTGTTCTAATCACTAATCTCTAAAATAAATATATTAGATCAAGCTTTATTTATATTGATATTGTATATATCTTATAGTGACACTGTGTTACTCCCTTTGAAATATACATCAAGAGGGAAACTTTCCTGCTGTTGTCTTGTTGCTGCTTTATTGTACTTGTGCATATATTTGCATGATCATTCATGCATGTGTGTGCAGATCATGTCATATATGTTGCAGATTGACTAGTTGCACGAAGACTTGCTTTATCACAAACTGCTCTGTCTGTGATTGTGAGATACCGCTCCCTTTTAATATATATCTTAAAGTTATGTGTGGCTTTGAGATTTGTCAGTTTGGATGTGTGTGAGCCATCTCATTCACTGATTTTTAATTTAAATTCTGAATTCTTTATAGGAAATACCATTTTAGGTATAATGTCCCTTTCAGAACTTCCTCGTATAAAATGAGCTTTTATTGAAATTAAGCCGTGAAGTTCCTCAGTTCTGTCCCACAAAAGAAGGCATGAACGTATATTCACAGACTCTGTAACCAATAGCGTCAATGATAAGAGTTGAAGGGATGAATGAACATCTTGTTTGGTTTTCTAGAGCGGTTATCACTGTTCTTGAAATTTTGGAAATCTTGGAATTTCAGGCAAAATGGCAGTTTGAGAGCTAAGCGTCTTACTTTCAACTCTGCTGATCAGTTTAATAATGTGACACATTTTCTGTCTGTATTTTGTTATTCTCAGAAAGATTTACTTTCTCCAGTTTTGTGATTGTGGCATCAACACGATTCCTGATTTTATCTTTGTGATTATTTTCTCACAGAAACCTGATGGAGAAGATAGCATAGTGTACTCAAGTGTTGCAGCACCTAAGAAGCACAATTTGCAATATTTGTGATGTTTTGTCTTAAAAACGAAAAAAAAAATCTAACTGCCATATAGAGCAGTGTTTCTCAACTGAAACTGGTGATTCATGAACACAATATTTTGGGATATATGTGAGGGATGCAATGTTGCATGCAGATATTAAAATGCAGCATGCAAAAGTTAAATCTTTTTTTTTAAACCTATGACAAGTGATTTGGAAAATGGAATGATTTAGAAACTAAAATAGCTATCATATTCAGCCCATTTCATGTTAATAATTGATTTGCAGCTCATTGTAATATTAATCCATTTCAGCATTTGATCGTATTTTAGTAGTATTACTGTCACTTTAGTATTATTAGCAATTTGGGTCAAATGTCTGATGTAAAACTTGCTCCCTCGAATGAAACCAGTTGAGAACCACTGAGGCAGAACACAAATGTATTATTTTTTTGTTATTTATTTCCACACTGCCATTTCATTATTGTGTTATTCATCAAACATCAAATAAAAGTCAGACTTTCAGCTGAGTTTTCGAAGACCATTACTGACAGATAACAGTACGAGGAGCCATGGACTGTATTTTAGCGATTTCCTTTTGACACTTTGAGACACTCTGGTAGCTCTTGAACTAATATGTCTTAAAAAGGTCTGAGAAAGAGTGGATTCAGTAACAGCTTCATAATGCACAAGAACTGCCTACATAGCTACATAGTTAACTTGTCTTGACTTGATCGCTTGAGCTCATGCTACAGCTGCCTTAAACTTTCAGTGTTTGTGTATTTTATATTTCAGCATTATTTCATGAACATTGTACTGAATGAAATAAACGTGTGTTAACAATGTTGTTACGAATGTTATGCTTTATGCAGTTTTAAGTAGTTAAGTGGTTTTTAATATTTAATCACTTTTCAGAGTATATTCTGGAACATAAAGCAAATCTAGTCTCTGAAAGCTTTTAGCATTACAAGCCACAAAAATAATGAATTGAATTCTTACATCAAGTTAACACATTTAAACCTGGTGTTTGTTTTAATCTATCACTCTAGCAGTTACTGTTTTCCTGTCTGACAGGACATGTTTCCACACGTTTGGCTTTTCCCTTTTTCTCTTTAGGCGGGAACATGTTGAGGTTCAGACTCAGAGTGGGTGGAGCAGCTCCAAATGAGTAGGACTATAGACGACTACAAATGGCTTGCACTGAAGGTCATACCTAACCCCACCTGTAAATTTGACCCCACTAACTTGAGGGTCTCCGCCTACATGTGGCAAAGGCCTCTTCCATTTGGAGGATATACTCAAGCTGCAGCAACATATAGGCCTACTTGGCATTCTCTGGCAGGCACATGCTTTTCATGCTGGAGAACTGCGCAGAATATTTATGTGAAACTCACAGGATTATGTTTGACATATTGCTTAGGTCTGGTTTAGTATTTTATGAAGTATTTACATTGTGATTCTACTGTCAAAACTATTTTACAGAGATGCATTGCAAAACATTGTGGCCACAACACAAAGGAGTTAAATACCAGTAACAGTCAAAGCAAAACCAATCCATCATTCAGAACTCTAAGAAGTAGCGAATGGTGTGTGTGTGTGCATTACAAGACACAGATTTCTCAAAGATGGATTACAAAAAAAAAACAATTTGTAGAGATTTGTAAGCCACAGTCCAGTTGAATTAAAGGTAATTGAACCTGCCATTTCCATGAACTTTGTTCATTGTTTTTAGTTTTTTCTGTTTTTATACAAAATGTTTTTCACAGACTATAGGAAAATAACTGCAGTTAGATGTATATCTTGTAAATATCAAAAGTGGTGATCATGTAGTTTGTCTGTTGTACCAATGAAATTAGCTTTGAGTAGCAATTTAAACATGATCTAAATGCATCAGCATCATACATGGGTTGAAAAGAGAAACAAATGAGATGAAAATAAAGACGCTTTTAAGCAGCTCTTAATAGAGATACTCCTGAAACAAGCCTTACAGCATCATCAGTTGAGATCTCACTTTATTATAAGTGTTTGCAGTAGAAACAGATTATTTGACTCTAGATACATGTTGAAAGTATGATATGAATAAAACATTTGTGTATGAGTGAGTAATGAATGAAACTCTTACAAAACAAAAACAAATAAAAAAACGAAATCAATTCAAATTACACTATCCGTTTAACTCATATAAACACCAGTTTTCTCTCCGTAAGCTCCCGCTGTTGCTAAACCATTTAATCCTCATTTAGTCCCTAAATCATTTAATCGCATTTATTAAGAAAGTGTAAATGACATGTACACAGTGTTGGGGAGTAGATAGCTAGTTACGCTACTAAAATAACTGCATTGTTCTGTAGCTTGACAGTAGCTCAGCTACTTTTAAAACAGTATAGCTTTCCCAGTAGTTAACTACTTTTCCAGAAAGTAGCGGGACAATAGCTACATTTTATTTTATGAACCAGCAATGGACTGAAGCAGTGCAGCATCTTCTTACCAGATCACATACTAAAATAGTGCATCACAGCCATCTATTGGTGCTGTATGTCATGCAGTGTCAGTAAATGCTGCTCACCTCCGCAAGCGCTGTGAGTTAGAGTCACTTACAATGTGCATTTGAAAAAGCAACACACGCCAAACATCTCCCCAAACTTAATGAGAATCCGAAGCGTTTATAAACCTAATGTCCAACAAAAGAGTACATTTAATAACATGATTTTACACCACATCAGTCAAAAGTTTGAAATAACTGCTATTCTATGCTGTAATAAAGGCTGTCGATTAGCAATGGATTATAAATTTACTTTATTATTATGAAAATACCCAAGATGGCCTGGAGAACAGATAAACCATATATTGTCGCAGTCGTGGGTTTATTGTCTTTATTTTTATTCATTTCAAGCATTTCAATCTTTTTATTCAGTCACAGCTATAGCTGAATGCCTTTGTCCATAATAGGGATTTCCTGGAGCGCCATGAGTTCTATTACTTCTGTCATATGTGGGATTTCTGCACCAGGGTGCCATCTGGCTGCCAGTATGAACGAAACAAACATGATGTGTTTAGTGCTCAGCAACGCGCACTCAGTCCTATTCTGGGCATAAAATAAAATAATAAAATGAATAAAATAACATACTATCTCTGTATTTAAAAAATATAATTGGTTACCACTTGTAGTACACTTGAGTGTACTAGTGTATGAAAGATGGGTTGAAGTGTACTACAAGTGGTAACTAAATAAATATTTTTAATACAGAGATACTTCACCTGGGGTTTCCTAAATGTTGTTTTCACAAGGTTGTGTTCTGTACAGTTGTTTCTGTGACTCCGTCTTTTACTTATTTTGCTCATTTGTAGTTACTGATTACTTCTATACAAATATATTTAATTGATTTATTTTTAAATGTATTTATTTATGCATTAATTTCTGCTTCTGCATGAACTCTCAAATAAATAATGAAAGAATAAGTAAATACAAGTAAAAAAAAATATATATAAAAATAAATACAGAAAAAGATAATACATTAATTAAATTAATTAAAAATAATTTATTACAATTACATTTATCAAATCATTTATACCTTTATTTAATTCCCAATTATTAATCTTAATTTATCTATGTATTTAATTTAAATTTCTGCAGGATTGGTCCTCCATTGACATTAGCATAATAAATAAGGCGAAAATTGGAGCGGTTGACATTAGATAAAGAGGCTTTTCAGATTATATGAGTCTGGAGGCTGGAAAACTGCACTATAATACTACTATTTCTCACAAACCTGAAAGAGTTAACATGTTTTACAGTCTTTTTTTCGGG